AAAACTAAACAAAAAAAACTGACAGGCTTTGTAACCCCCCTTTACTCTATCCAAAATGAAAAGAAAAAGTTATGCCTTTAATGACACTTCAAGTGCAAATTCGTGAGACATAGAAGACTTTCATCTCCTGATGTTAATGTAGTAATTGTGAAACATGTTTAGCTCACCAATGAGATAGCAAACCTAAAATACGAATAAAAGGAAACCTTGTGTACCATTGCTTACCTCCTTCTAAAGATGCTAGTTCCCCAGCTGCCATGCAGTCCTTTAGCTTCATTATTTGTGAAGCTACTGACCAAGAAAAATTATACAAACCAGATTTAACTTCACTGATCATTTGTAAGTTTGCTTCAGTGACCAGGCAACTAGCATTTTCTGAAGTAGGTCAGCAGTGGAAGCTCACATATTTCTATTGAGACTTTCTACTCTTAAATGATATTGTACACCAAGAGGAGAACCCCGGTTTTGTCTAATATTTTTTCTAATTCTCAGGTACATCTTTCCAAGTGAATATAGTATGCTAACACCACAAATTATACACAGTACCATGGCAGTGTACAAAGAAGCAATGAAAAACTTACTGCCCACACCTACAAAGTCTCATTATTTATTCAATCTTCGAGACTTTTCTCGTGTAATTCAAGGAATTTGCTTGTCACGTCCTGAAACAACGGATTCTCCTTTATTGATTAAGAGGCTGTGGGTTCATGAGGTAGGTCTGATTAAACTGGACTGATTTCTTTTGTCTTTTATTTTTTTTTTTTTAGAAAAAAATTAAAGTTTATCTAAATGAGAAATTCAGTAATAGGTGGAGTCTGACAGGCTATGTCACTTTGGCTTTGTGTATCTCTTGGAGACTCCAGTGATAAGACCTCCCTACTATCATAATACATATATAACATCTAGCACATTTTAGAATCTTGGCTGTCCCAACACATATTATTGTTCTGACTCCGCCTGTAGAATTAATTCTGTTATCTGTGGGTCTCTAATAGAAATGAGAACCCATTAGGTGGTTCAAATCTCTGCGAGCTATCAAAATTGAATCACCTTAGGATAACCTTGTGGCTGGCCAAGGTACCCATTACAAAAAATAACTATATGTATCCTCACGCTGCTGTATCCAACCTAAATTCACTACTTAACCATTTCAATACCGTGCAATTTTACACCTTCCTGCCCAGGCCATTTTTCAGGTTTCAGCGCTCTCACAATTTGAATGACAATTGCGCGGTCATACAACACTGTACCCAAACTAAAATGTTATCATTTTCTTCACACAACTAGAGCTTTCTTTTGGTGGTATTTAATCACCGCTGGGGTTTTTATTTTTTGCTAAATTAACAAAAAAAAGACCAAAAATTTTGAAAAAAAAAAAAAAAACAAATTTTTCTTTCTTTCTGTTATAAAAGTTTACAAATAATAAATAATTGTTCTTCATAAATTTAGGCCGAGATGTATTCTACTACATGTCTTTGGTAAAAATAAACCCAAATTAGGATGTATTTTTTAGTTTGTAAGAAAGTTATAGAGTTCACAAACTATGGTATAGATCTGAATATTGATCAATCCTGAAGTACTGACGGTCAATCTAATTTCTTGAGGTCCAAGAATGTCAGAATAGTACAGATATCCCCCAAATGACCCCTTTTTGCAGAGTAGACAGTCCAACGTACTTCATAAGAGGCATGGCAAGCTTTTTGAAGTTGTATTTTTTTTTGTCATAATTTTTCGGAAAATTAAAAAATTAAAAAAAATTATTTTCACAATTTTTTTTTTTACATACTGTCACCAGTGCAGTACAGCGTCATCATATAACTGGCATGGCGGTGAACAGGGACACTGACTGGTGACAGTATGAAAAAAAAAAAAAATATATTATTTTTTTTATTTTTTTTTTATTTTTTATTATATTTAATTTTTTATTACATTTTTTTTAATTTTTTAAGATTTTTTTTTCATATTTTACTGTGACCAAAGTAGTACAATGTTACCATAGTAACATTGTACTACTTTGGGGAAGTGATCAGTATTTTTTTTTTTTTTTTTTACACAATTTGCTTATAGCAAAGAATTACTTTGCTATAAGCAAGCATTTACCTGAATGAAATCGATTCATTCAGCTTTTTTTTTTTTTTTTTTTGTGCTTAGCTGTGATTTGGTCACAGCTAATCACATGACATGTGCATGTGATTAGCTGTGACCATTCACAGCTAGGCACTAGTATACAATGGATTATTCACTCAATGAAAATGAAAAACATGTGTGCCATTCATAAAATCACAGCTTTCAAAATTGCCTGTGTCCCGGTCTCACAGATCATACAGTAGCCTGCACTGCCTGGATTGGCCTCACCCAAGTCCACCTAGAGTGATGGTGTTGTGGACACTCCCATCTGACATTTTGGGGTTTATTTTACTAAAGCTGGAGAGCCCAAAATCAGACTCCCTTCTGCATAGAAACCAATCAGCTTCCAGGTTTCATTGCCAAAGCTTCATTGAACAAGCTGAGGTTAGAAGCTGATTGGTTTCTAGGCAGAAGGGAGTCTGATTTTGGACTCTCCAGCTTTAGTAAATAAACCCTGTTGCGTCCAGATTGGACTTCCTCAGCAATATCTAACACAACACACTTGCACAGATGGATACCTGATTATTAATTGATGGTTTCAATATAGGCAAAGGGACCACTGCACTTGCTATTTTATCAAAATAACCACATTTTTAAATACCTAACCACTTCTCAAAATGAATTTAGATGTCTGACTTTTATGATACTACATAACATATACCTGGAAAAATACAGTCATTTGTATTAAAATCTCTTAAAAGCATCCAATAAAAGTAAGAAATCTTTTGAAATATTTTATTGTGCTGTGTATGCTTTCAAACTCCATATGATACATCCCTTCTCCAACTGATCGGTTAAATTAGTATATTCATTACTGTATCAAAATTCATTATGCATAAACGTTTCCAAGCTGAAGAAAAATATGGTTGTATGGATGCTGGTAATTCAGTTGAGTGCTGATGGTGGTATGCATTTTTAGGCAAAACATCACTCACTTCTTTAGAAAAGCATCAATGGTATCCATGAACAATCATACATAGATTTATGAACACATTTCATACAATCAGCTTTACATATAATATAACAAAAGCATATGGACATATATATATATCTATTGCCAAAAAAGATCATATATCTTTTTATCACAATCACATAGAACTACTGGAGTGGGGAAAGGAAGTTATTTATTGATTGTACTGTATAGTCATCCCCACTCCACTCAACCACTAGCATCCGCCCAACAATATTTTATCCATCTTGAAAATGTTTATGTATGATTGGATGCAGTTACTGTTCGGCTGCCAATTTTCTACCCGGATCCTTTGATTTTTCACTTAAAGTATGTTGAACTGGATGATTCCGACATTCATACACAAGGGTCCAATTACATCTCATTTAGCTGGAATCGGCTAAAATTCAAGCCGTGTATGGCAGTCTGTAATCGTAAAATTGCTTATCTATCTATTTAAGAACCTAGGATTAAACTTGTATTCTGAAATGATCTTCCCAATTGTAATTATGCCCAAGGGTGTAGCTGATGGGACCCAAGCCACAAGCTGTGTTTCAGAGCTGATGTCAACAGCTTTTTATGCAGTGATTGATGTTTTAGATGTTACAATGTTAGTGCTAGTTAAAACACAATGTTAGGTCAACAAAAATAGATAGATTAGAATGAACCCAAAATTGCCATGAGGAAGCTAATTACAGTAGATTTTTTAACGCTGGAACTACTAAAACAAACTTGAAAATAGAAAATAAGCTGTTTTAATGTGGAGGTGTTAAGTATTAGCCTTGTGTGGTTGGGAGAAAGATCATAGACTAGGGATTTTAGAAAAAATGACAATTAGTTATTTCTGGAAATCAACAATTGAGATATAATTTTTAATAGCTGCCTATAGAAGCATGCATTTAGAAGCAATCACTGCAGGAGTTGAGTGAGTATGCAAAGTTTAAATTGGCTTTTTCCCTAGACCCAAACTTCTATGATTGCAAAGAAAAATGCCTTTGCATGGACTAACCAGCATTTACAGAGTGTTTGAAGTCAGGAGCACACTTATGTGTTACAAAGGGTAATTTTAAGAGTGTCGGGACTTGATTTTGCAAATTGGCTGCTGTGTTCTGAGAAAATGAGGTGTCTTAATTGGATGTACTCAAAGATCTGAATCACAAAATATTGGTTGTACTTTATATATTTGAACCCAAACCATGTATATTCTGTTTTGTTCTATTTTAGGACTGTAGAATGGAGTGAAACTTGCTACCTCTGCTGAAGATAATAATAATCATTTCAGGCTGATGTAGCTGGCCTTGTGAGCATAAATATTTGTTAATAAAACTATGATCTTTTTTTTAATCTGTAGGTCCTTCGCGTTTACTATGACCGACTTGTTGATAATGCAGATCGATCTTGGCTTGTTGGATATATTGAGGAAGTTGTGAAAAGCCACATGAGAGAAGACTTTTATCAACTCTTTCAGCATCTAGATTTTAATAATGATGGCAAAGTTGAGGAGGATGACTTACGCAGTTTAATGTTTTGTGATTTCCATGATCTTAAGAGGGAAGATACAAACTACAAAGAAATAACTGATGTTGATAAACTATGTTTAGTTGTGGAAAGCCATCTAGAAGAATTCAATAACATTAGTAAGAAACCCATGAATTTGGTTTTGTTCCGATTTGCAATAGAACACATATGTAGAATCTCACGTATTTTGAAACAGCCTCGTAGCCATGCCTTATTAGTTGGTGTTGGTGGAAGTGGCCGTCAGTCAGTCACTCGATTAGCTGTTCACATGGCTGACCAAAAACTTTTTCAAGTGGAAATCTCAAAGAGCTATGGTACTACTGAATGGCGAGAGGACTTAAAACTAATTTTGAGACAGTCTGCTGAGGGTGAAATGTCAGGCGTTTTTCTGTTTACAGACTCACAGATTAAGAAAGAATCTTTCTTGGAAGATATTAATAATTTGCTCAATGCTGGAGAGGTTCCAAATCTTTTTGCACCGGATGAAAAACAAGAAATTTGTGAAAGGATGCGACAGATAGACCGGCAAAGAGATAAACTAAAACAAACTGATGGTAGCCCACTTGCTCTTTTTAACTTGTTTGTTGACCGTTGCCGTGATCAGTTACACATAGTCCTTGCAATGAGTCCTATTGGAGATGCATTCCGAAACAGACTCCGGAAGTTTCCAGCTCTTGTTAACTGCTGTACAATTGATTGGTTTCAGGTAACTTTTTAATATTAATAATATTAAATTTTGGCCAGACACGTGTCTACTTCTGGTTCATGACCATGTGAAAAATATACCACTGACAGTCTTGATTTAGGGCACATTCACACTATTCCGGACACTAAAACGTGTGCTTTGTGTAGGGGCAGTGGGAGATGGAGCAGTGCATTGTTACAGTGCATCACACTGTTAACTGTTTTGTTTAAACTTCATCAAAGTGTTACAAAATAATACTACATGCACTGCAGCATGTTCTGACAGGCTGCGGTGTGTGACTTGTGATTTGGTGAGTTTTGAAGCGTCAAAAAATGCATACATACTGCATTTTAATGCATTATACCAATGCACATGTATGGTATGAACAGGGCACTTAGAAAACATTTGTTTCCTATGTGTCCTTGCATTGAGCCTGCATTGATCTATACAGATCAATGCAGCTCAAAGGACATAGTGTGAACAAGCTCATACTCCCACCTGTGCATGCGGGGAGTGATGCAAAAGTATTATTTAGGCCTCATTCACATCTTTGCATTTTAATGTGTGTGCATTGGAAAGCAAAACAATATATGTTATTCATAAGGCTGTTGAATAAGACATTGGTCTCTGTGGCCCAATACGGTTTGAAAAATGATGCACTTCAATTTTTCTGTTAATTTTCATGCGTTGCGATGCCCAGTAGAATAATGTATGTGTGCTACAATGCATTTAACAAAATGCAGAAAGCAGACACATATAGATGCGAACCTGGTCTTATTGTGTTTATTATGTGTAAATGATAATGCATAATATGCTTTGTATCAACTGGCTAAAGTTCCTTGCAAGTGGCGCGCCTGGTAGGACTTGAACAAAGCTTTACAGCACAACAAGGCCACCAATAAGCTATTTTGCAATCCCATCAGTGTGGGATATCACACTAATGGAGGATATTTTAAACAGCAGCAGATTAGTGGTTATATTATATTGTATATTTCAGGAGAAAATGGCCTAAAATGCAATTATGAGAATGCCCATGCTGAGTTATGCTTTTATTTTTAATTAATATTTTGTATTTGATTTTGTTAATATGAAGTTTAACTGCTGTGGTCACCATGGCTTTATGTCATACTTGGTTAAATGTTTTAAAGAATATTAAGTTTCAAGCCTGTTTTCTAGACCTGGCCAGATGATGCACTTCAAGCTGTAGCAACCCGCTTTTTAGAAGATATTGAAATGTCAGAAGAAATTAAGAATGGATGCATTGACATGTGTAAAATCTTCCACACTTCTACCATTAACCTGTCTGAGAAGTTCCGCATGGAGCTACAGAGATATAATTATGTTACACCCACATCCTATTTGGAACTAATTTCTACATTTAAAACATTGCTGGAGAAAAAACGATTGTAAGTATTATTACTAGATCAGGCAGATTGTTTATTAGATTCTAGTATGACAAAGCCTAGAGACTAGAGACACACAAATCACTATTTTATTATATCAACTGGTTGTTGTCAGGATTTATAGTGACACAGCAGAAACACAGCAGAATAATTGATCAAATGATAATCAAATATATATGTCAAAATTGCTAGTATCAAAGGATAGTTTTTTAATACCTATGAGTATTTTTAAATATTTTATAGTGTAAAATGCAGTAATTGGGCAACTATCCCCTAAAGAGTTGTTTTTGTACTTCCTTGCTCCAAAAGCACACATTTTCTAAAATGTGATGCAGGCTTACGTTATTACTACATTTCATTGAAGGATATTCTCGTTTTCCTTCAAATTTTTCAGTATGTTAATGAGAAAGTTTAGGTCTCCATCAATATGTGTGCTCCTCACATAAAGCTTAAAGGGATCAGTTCAATAATGATTATTGCATGCAACATGCAACAAAACAACTGTATGCAATAATAAAGTTAATTCATGAGAGAAAAATATTGCATTTAAGGTAAATACTGCAAAAAAAAAGTTATAACGTAAAATGTAATTTTTTATTAAATAAAAATTAAATATAAGTATTTAAAGTTATTAAAAAGTAATTAAAGTTAATTCACTAAAAAACCACCTATTTATTATTTATCTTATAGTTCAGGTAGCTGATCCACACATTTGCAGTGCGTATTGAAGCTCAGGTTTCACAGCTAATTGATACAGTAGTTGTTCAGTGGTTCAGGTCAGGTTTACATCAGGTTCAGGACAGATTCAGGTCAGGGTTTTATCCTGTTCACACATATGCGGTTTGGAAATGGTTCCCATAGAAGTCAATAGTCTATAATCCACACCTGAACCTGACAGCACTGCTCAGAAATCATACAGGACTCTTTTTCGATCCACACTGAATCCACACTGCCAGTGCAGTGGGGAAAATTATTATTTGATCACCTGCAGATTTTGTGAGTTTTCCCACTTACAAAGAAATGAAGGGTCTATATTTTTTTATCATAGGTGTATTTTAAATGATAGAGACAGAATATCAAGCGAAAATCCAGATTAAACACATGATACAAAATGTTATAAATTGAGTTGCAGTTCAGTGAGTAAAATAAGTATTTAATCCCCTACCAATCAACAATAATTCTGGCTCCCACAGACTGGCTATGTGCTCATGTGGTACACAGATTAGTCCTGTCAATTTAAGAAGATGTTCCTAACGACAACTCATTATGTGTTTATAAGACACCTGTCCACAGAATCTCTTTCTTCCATTCAAACCTCATGGACAAGACCAAAGAGCTGTCAAAGGATGTCAGGGACAAGATTGTAGACCTGCACAATGCTGGAATGGGCTACAGGACCCTCAGCAAGAAGCTTGGTGAGAAGGAGACAACTGTTGAAGTGATTATTCGCAAATGGAAGAAATAACAAATAATAATCAACCGCCATCTGTCTGGAGCTCCATGCAAGATTTTGCCTCATGGGGTAAGGATGATCATGAGAATAATGAAGGATCAGCCCAGAACTACATGGGAGGAGCTTGTGAATGATCTCAAGGCAGTTGGGACCACAGTCACCAAACAAACCATTGGTAACACAATATGTTGCCATGGAATGAAATCCTGCAGCTCCACAAGGTCCCCCTCCTCAAGAAGACACATGTACAGGCCCATCTGAAGTTTGCCAATCAATATCTAAATGATTCAGAGAAGGATTGGGTGAAAGAGCTGTGGTCAGATGAGACCAAAATTTAGCTCTTTGGCATTAACTCGACTCGCTGTGTTTGAAGATAGAAAAATGCTGACTATGACCCTAAGAACACCATCCTTATAGAAGGTGGAAACAGTATACTTTAGGACTGTTTCTCTGCTAAAGGTACAGGCCAACTTTGCCGCATTGAGGGGTCAATGGACGGGGACATGTATTTTAAAATTTTGGAACACTGAAGATGGGTTATGGATGGGTCTACCAGCATAACAATGACCCAAAACATACTGCCAAGGCAACAAAGGAGTGGCTCAGGAAGAAGCACATTAAGGTCATGGAGGGGCCTAGCCAGTCTCCAGACCTTAATACTATAGAACATTTATTGAGTGGGCTGAAACTTTGAGTGTCCAAGCAACAGCCAAGAAACCTTAAGGATTTAGAGAAGATTTGTAAAGAAAAGTGGACCAAAATCCCTTCTCAGATGTGTGCAAACCTGGTAACCAACTTCAAGAAAAGTCTTTCCTCTGTGCTTGTCAACAAGGGTTTCTCTATCAAGTACTAAGCCATGTTTTGCTTGGAGACCAAACACTTATTTTACTCACTGACCTGCAACTCAATGTATAACATTTGTATCGTGTTTTTTTTTTTCTGCATTTTTGGTTGATATACTGTGTCTATCGTTTAAAATACACCTATGATAAAAATTAAAGACCCTTTGTTTCTTTGTAAGTGGGCAAACTTACAGAATCTACAGGGGATTAAATAATTATTTTCCCCACTGTATGTGAACAGTCTCCATAGGATGCAATGTTATTTCAGGTGTCATGCGGATTGGATGTGGTTCAAACTGCATCCAATCCATATATATGTGAGCTGGCACTTCGCCAACATAATAATTAGGGGAACTCTGCACTGGTCTGTAGGTTGAAAGTATACAATGGATCAGTGTGGATGTGTCTTTCCTGAGGTGAGAAATGTTAATACATTGTAAACTTTAACTAGAAAAAGATCATTCTGTGATTTCACACCAAATATGTTTTCATAGTTTCACAATTATGTGCATTCATTCATACATCAGTCTTCCTCTGATGCAGTATTAATCTGTGATAAAATAGTGTAAAAATTACACTAGATTTCTCATGTGACTTGCTGCAACATGCAAGGGAAAATGTCACCAGCACACCAAGGATCACCAATATGGTCCAAAAAGTTTTTAATGAACGATCACATAATTACAGCAAGGCAATGTTTCGGAGTCTCGCAGGACCCTTTCATCAGGCATGCCTGAAACATTGCCTTGCTGTAACTATGTGATCGTTCATTAAAAACTTTTTGGACCCATATTGGTGATCCTCGGTGTGCTGGTGACATTCTCCCTTGCTGATTCTGTTCAGTTCCAGCCAACGGCCGCTGTAGCACCCACTTTATACACACAGCCATTTTTAACACATGAACGTGTGCGTTTGAATTGTATACTTGCTTGCTGCAACATGCGACACAGAAAGATGTATGACAAGTAAAAACACATTCATTTCAATGGGTGCCATCTTAATTGTTGTGACTCAAGTCACAGCAAAAAATAAAAAAAAGGTTCCTGCACTACTTTTCTGCATCTTCCTTAGGACATGAGTGCCATAGACTGCAATGTTAAAATTACAAAAGCTGCAAGGGAGTCGTTTCTTTGTCCTACCTTTGAAACTTTGGCTGTGACCAATAATATGTGTCACCCTCTGTATTGTTATGATTTTCCAAAGTCGCAAAACATCAAATTGCAGGAAAGTCACATTAAGTCACAAGCAAGTCACAATGCAGATTTGTACTGGAAGTTTGGGGTCACAGCAGTGTGAACAGAGCCTAAGTGCTAAACATTGCAAAGCATAAATATTTAAGGAATTTGTTAAATAACATGTTTTTTTTAGTGAAATTACTACTTTAGAGATAAATACCTAGTTATTTTAAAGCAAAAAATCATGTAATATTTATCTTTTTGTGAATTGACCCCACAGAGTTACCCTGTTGGTAGTCATTGACAGAGTGCATAGAGACATTGACTATGCAATAATCTTGGACATGTGTTGGTACACTTCAGTAATTAAATATTATCAGGGTAAAATTATTTACATTTTTGCAGAGAAGTAATGAAAATGAAACAGCGATATGAAGTGGGCTTACAGAAACTGGAATCTGCATCATCCCAAGTCACTACAATGCAAAGTGAGTTGGAAGCTCTCCAGCCACAGCTGAAGGTTGCCAGCAAAGAGGTGGATGAGATGATGGTAGTCATTGAGAGAGAGTCAATTGAGGTGGCCAAGACAGAAAAGATTGTGAAAGCAGATGAAGCCGTAGCAAATGAACATGCAATGGCTGCCAAAGCAATCAAGGATGAATGTGACAGTGAGCTGGCCGCAGCTTTGCCTTTGCTGGAAGCTGCTCTGGCTGCCCTGGACACTCTTACTCCACAGGTGGGTATCTCCTATCCATATTATTTAAATGGTGGATGTTTTATCTGGTATACATGTTAAGATATTATAGCTGCTACACTACAAACCAATTCTGTAGATAAGCAGCTGTTTTAGTTTTTGTTATTGTTCATAAAACATCAAAGGAACAAGTTGCATTTCATTGACATTCAAAACCTGGCAGTAAAAAATAATGAGCTGCTGTCTAAAATTGTGGAGGCATTTTACTTGGATAAAGCTCATGTTTACTTAATACAATGCTTATATTCAACTGCTTGTGAAAAAAATGCTAGCAAAATCAGGATTAAAATGCTTTAAAGAGGAACTACACTGTATATGAGGACAACAAACCAAAAATGCTATTTAATTCTTTTTGTAATATTCAAATCAAACTCACCAATTCATCCATGTGTTCTATATTTGGTTGATAAATCATCTTGGAGAACACCTAATAATTTTTGTTGTGGCAGTCTCGAGTAAGGGCAGATGATTCATGTAGCATTTACTTCCTGGAATCCATCTGCCCTTGGCTCAGGTATGCAGGTAGGAGGGTGTGCTTAGCTGAGAGAGCCCATCCTCCCCTCCTGAAGACCTCTGGGATGTATGACATCATTTGCCTAGGCCTGGAAACCAGGAAATAACTGAAGAAGTGTAAAAAAAAATGTTTAAAACAAGCAAATATGATATATTTACTAATTCTTGCAGCATAAAGATTAATGCTTGCAGCATAATGATTAAAAATAGTCAATGTTTATTGAGAGAGTGAAGTTTCACATTAAG